CTAGAGAGCCTCTCCCAACCTCGTTTTGTCCAGAAATGGCTATTCCCAAGAATTCTGGGCATCGTATTTCCACATAGTTGGAGGACACCAGTTTGGGGATTGTGGTGGAATGTAGTCTGGATTCCCAGAAGGGAGGGGCTGCATTCCAAAAGGGCAGCAAAGCTTAGTTTGGTTGGGAGAAAGAGAGCGAAGAAGGCTCCTCCCTAACACTTCTCAGAGTATACATATTCTGCACTGCAAATAGTTGCTTTAGTTTGGCAAGATTCTGTCTATCGGTGACAAACAATGAAGGAAACTACTTGGAAGTAATCTTTCTTGGTTCAGGGAACTTGACGGGGATGCAGTTCTAGGGGCTAAAAAGATAATTCTGGGAGATGAAGGAAAAACATCATACATGAGCCAAAAAGGTAAAGGTTTCCCCTATCCCAGGGGTAGGCAACCTCGGCTCTTTTATGACTCGTGGACTTCAACTCCCAGAATTCCTGAGCCAGCCATGCTGAGGAGAAAGGGAGAGGTTTCCAAGCTGAGCCATGCTGGCTCAGGAATTCTGGGAGTTGAAGTCCACGAGTCATAAAAGAGCCAAGGTTGCCTACCCCTTCCCTATCCAGTTGTGTTTGACTCTATAAGGCATTGCTCATCTCCATTTCTTAGCCAAAGGAGCCAGTGTTGTCCGAGGACATTTCTATGGTCCTGTGGCCAGCATGACTATACGCCGAGGCACACAGAACACTGTTACCTTCTCACTGAAGTTGTACCTATTTATCTACTCACATTTGCATGTTTTCAAACTGCTAGATGGGCAGGATCTGGGGCAAGTATGGGAGCTCACATGGTGCTTGAGTCTTGAACCCAGGCTGACAGCTTTCCAGCTGACAAGCTAAGTGTCTTTAACCACTGAGCCATCTGCCCCCTTCACATGGGCCAAAGGGGCTCCCAAAAGACAAGCCATGCCAGAATTACATATTAATTACAAACCACAGGTTCTTCTTAAGGGGCAGGAGCTCTTCCAACAGCAGGTTTAAAATATCTTGAGCCTAATAAATGTTATGTGAACTCTAGAAAAAGGGAGCAATTTCTGATGAACACCCCAGTGAGATAACTGTGAGAGGAGGTAAGGGGGGGCCTTTTCTGCTTCAGACAGCTGAAACTCAACTGCAGTATTTCTATCACTGTATCTCAGAGGTGGTGCTGCATAAGGGCTTGAGAATACAAACCAGGAAGGGTCTGATCTCAGTCACGACATTCATAGAGGTAGCAGATTTCTATAAAGAATGGATAGTTCTTGCCAACAACGAAAGCTGCCATTTTAGCTCGGGGATTTCCCACAAAGAATCAGTGGCTGCTAGATATTTAGTTTAGAGGATCCATTTACACATTATTGGGATAACAAATGAATCCTACAACAAAATACAAGTAACTGGACAGCCATTTTTCTGAAATGGTATAGGGTTTCCTACCTGAGCAGAGGGTTGGACTAGATGATCTCCAAGATCCCTTCCAACTTTTTATTATTATTACTATTATTACTATTATTACTATTTATTTATTTATTTATTATTTAAAATTATATACCGCCCTATCTCCCTTACGGGACTCAGGGCGGTGAACAGGCAATAATAAAAATCACAATAAATATTAAATAAAAAGCCTGCTCTAAAATACCCCATATAAAAACCCCTACCAAAACACAATCAGAACTACGCCAGGCCGGCCGCATGGAATAGATGGGTTTTCAAGGCTCGGCGAAAGAGGCGCAGGTCCGTAGTTGTACGTAGGTCGGGGGGTAGGTCATTCCAGAGGGCAGGAGCTGCCACAGAGAAGGCTCTCTACTATTATTATTGTTGTTGTTGTTGTTGTTGTTATTATTATTATTATTATTATTGCCCTCACTTACCGACCACCCATTCAGCGTTAAGTTAAGACAGTGCTGAAAAAAGAGACTTATGACCGGTCCTCAAATTTGTGACCGTTGCAGTGTTTCCCCCTGTCATGTGATTGTGACTCAGATGTTTGGCAACCACAGCAACACATGTATACGATGTTTACAGATTTCCAGAGTCACATGATGGCTATTTGCGACTTTCACCGCCAGCTTCTGACAAACAAAGTCAATGGGGAAACTGGCAGGAAGTCAAAAGTCACATATGACATTGTATTTAACAACCGCAGGGGATTTGTTTAACAACCACAGCCAAAACTGACATCCTAAATCTACATGGCCACATGACTCTTCACTTTACAATCCAGCTGCCTACAAAGTTTGCCAGTCCTGGTTGAGGTCTGTATATGAGTAACACCTCTAATTTACTCTCAGATCTTCTCCTTCCCTTCTTTCCTCAGTAACATTTAAGCCAATATTTGGGGGCTCTTGAGCATGCTTAGTTCTTCTTGGATTTTTTTTTTGTTTTCTCTGAAGTTCTTGCGTCCAACATTGTTTTGGTATTTGCAAATTTCCCCCTCTCAATATCTTTTAAGCAGAGCCCTTTCAAAAGTCGCAGCTGAATTAAACGTTTTATGAGATACCAATGTGCCACTGTTAAATGTGTGGGAACAATAAGCCTGCACAGAACTTTGAATTTAATTCCGAAAGGTGCCTCTGAGGGCAACAAAACATTCTTGTTCTAAAGAATTGCAGACAGCTGTTATATTTAGGTACCTACATATTTTAAAGCACCTTTTTGAATGAAATCTAAAGCACCACACTGATGAAGTCCGATTTTTGTTTTGCCTTATGGAGCATGTCCACCAACATATCACTGAAAAGCCAAATATGGCTCTCATCATACCAACACTCTCCTGCTTTTCAATTTATGTCCTTGGATGAATACACAAAGTGGAACATCGTTGGTTCCAGAGAGGCAAAGCATGTGATCATTCTATAGAGACATTTCCCTTTATATTTTTATAACAATTTTGTAATAGATTTCAAAAAACAAAAAGTCTGTTTCAATGTTAGAAGCAATGTGCTCTAATGTGTGAGAAGTTCTGGATAATAAAGGGGATTTTTAAAAGAATGGATTTGGGGGGAAATGTGATGGAAATTGAGGATTTCACTTCCTTTTTGCAATTTGGTTGAAGGGAGTCTGAAAATAAAGCTTTCAGTCGACCATTAAAAGGTTAAAATTATTCTAAAAGCTTAATACGGTCGTTTCTGGAAGTATAGAAAAAAAGCTCTAGTCCTCAAAGAGCACAAATGTAAATGTGTTGATGCTTTTTAAAAATTAAACGAAGATAGAATTTGCTTCTTAGCTACCTTGTACCTTTTAGAAAGGGCTCCCTTGTCCATTTTTTGAGTCTAATCTGGCCAGTTTTAAATATGTTTAATGTCAACGCTGCTAACATTGGATGTTCTTGCTTTGACAACCTGTGGAGAAGCAGCTTTGCTTCTTTAATTGGTGTGTTACTTTTAGAGTTAGAATTAGTTGATGCTGGGGGGGGGAGGAAGAATGTCTCTCAAGGATGTTTTGAAATAAGAGAAGATAAGAATTTGGCCAGGTTGTTGACCAGAAGGGAAACTTTGCCCTTCAAACTGATTGGAGAACATGATTTATGACAGCTAATTGGAGGAGGGAGTTGTGCTTGAATATTGTGTGCTCAGGGGAGGGGAATTCAGATCTTGGCATCCACCATGTTCGTGCCTAAGGGTGCTGTACTAATAAAGAGACTTTAAGGTAAACAATGCCTCGAAGTTCTTTGAAATATTCCCCTAATCGGAACCATGACATTTAATTTAAAAACTGGTCTAGAAATGTGATGATAACTATGCACGACCCAGAAACTGAAAAGCAATATTTTGATATGTCAACTACAAGATCAATCTGAATGATTTAAAAAAATAATAAAATAAGGGCACTCAATCCTTATCATTTTTTCCTCACCTAAAACATCTGCAGTATAAAAAGTTTGTCAGCTCTTATTCTTCTGTTCTATCTCTCTGTCCGAAGCCCATTTCTATCCTTTTATAGAACTCTTATTCAATCCAACAGAAAGCACCTGTTTACATGTCCTAACATTACACTAGGTATTTTTTAAAAAACCCTCCAGGATGCCCGTTCCTACTGGCATAGTTCTTACCCATATTCAGACATCACCTTCCTTACATGCTAAACAATACCGTGAAGCCAAGCGTGACTACAGAACAAGCATGCTGGACTACTATAACTTGCTTGGCCCTGTCTATCTCAATTCACCATGCTGGCTACCTTTTTTCCCTTTTGGACAGCGAACAACTGATTTCTGATTTGCATTTGGTACTAGAAACATCCCTGCTTACATTTATATTTTTATTTTACTTATGTCAACATTTATACTCTGCTTTTCTGAGCAGGCATGTCCCTCAGTTCCTCATCTATGAAAACCTATGTGACCCTGTTTTTTTCCCAAGCTACCATGTAGTCTGGAGGTGGGGAATTAAGACTCTTTTATGACTTGTGGACTTCAACTCCCAGAATTCCTGAGCCAGCATGGCTCAGGAGTTGAAGTCCACAAGTCATAAAAGGGCCATGGTTCCCCACCCCTGATGGGGTCCCTGGTTTCCTCATGTTTGTCTGACTGCTGCCTGACTCTTATTTCTTCTCTTCACACAGCTGCCAAAGACGGTCATCCTAACAGCTGTCCATTCACCCTGGCCTACAGCTCACCCTGCCATTACACATCTCGGCCAGTTTTTTCTGTAAAAATCCTTTATTGGGAAGGAGGAGAGTTCAACTCCCAGCGACATGATTTCCTGTTTGCGTAGACACAAAGAAGTGCTGCTCAGGCCCTATAGTTTGATTTTTGCCTACAGCCACCAACCTGAGGGGAGAACTAATCTTGGGTGCCGGATAGTTTTTGCTTCCCCATGATAGTCGCCTTCTGATCATAGCTGCTCTAATGGCACCGAATTCCACCGTGGAAACTAAAGCTACCCCCCTGGGGGACGAAGGCTTGGAGGGCAAGGGTAAGTTATGTACGAAGGAGTGCCCTAAGCATTGCAAACGGGCCTGCACTTTGGGCCTCACCGGATAGGAGGAAGAAAGGGGAGCACGAGAAACAGGCAGCTCACCAGAGACAGTATGGATTTCCTGCAGATGTAGCCTCAGGCCCGGCTTCCTACCTACCATACTGGTGAGCGTGGCATGATTTACAGTAGACTCCTGGGGGTTAGCAGTCAATTCTTGAGAGCTCGATTTGGCACAGAGCTGAGCTGGCTGTGACACTTTACCTCCTGTTACGACCGTTGTCGTAGCCATACTGTGTGCCATCAGCACTCTTCGGTTACGGGGGTCTACTTTGAGCTTGCTGGGCAGCTTAAATTTCACCGAGGTTGAAGGAGCGAGTTTGCTAGGGGTGGGCTTCTCTTTAACTCTGTTCTCCTTCCCAGGAGCTCCTGGCTCTGTGGTCTTGTTGTTTGCTGCTGTCCAGCATGGGGTAGGCGCACGAGGAAGACTCTGGTTATTGCGCCGGTGAATCGATTTAGGAACTCTTTGCTGCTGTGGAGCACTGCAGCCGTTCTTGGTGTCAGTGGCTGGAGGGGGGCTTCTTTGGGGTGGAGGTTGAGGCTTCTTCACCGTGGATCCTTCTACCAAAAGGCTAATGCCAATGTACTGGGGAATCTCCACAGCAGCCTATTGCGAGAAGAAGAAGAGGGTGATGGGGATTGGTCAAAAGGAAGCTATTAACTTCTCCCGAGGGCAAATAAGAGCAGGAGAAAATATCTAACTAACTGTTATGACCCAGGTGGTCAAGGCAAGGCAGGCCTCTATTGCTCTCAATAAATGTTCCAACAAATGGCCTTCCAACGACCGGTAAGGCTCCACCCCACGCTACTCTAAAGGCAGCCACCCTCAGTGCCCCAAACAACAGCCCCTATATTACAAAGAAAGTCCACAGAGTAGCAGCACGCTCACAGGGCAAGGTCCAGGGTCTCAAGTTCAGTCCACCCGGCTAAGCGAGTACATGAGGCAAACTGTAGTCCATCAGGCAAAGTCAAGGCCCAAGACAAAAGACAGTCTTCGAGGCAAAGGCAAAAGGCAGGAGTCAAAGCCAGGGCAGGGTAAGCCAAAACAAGCAATTGTCCTTGGCAAAGACTAACTCCCCATGGCTTCTCCTTAAGTCAATCCACTCCAGGTGACCCTTGTGAGGAGGGTTGGGATGACCTCCTCCTGAGTAGTCTCACAGCCCTTCTCTGAGCTTGCCTACACTCTGCTCTCTGTGCCCTTGGATCAAGCGGGAGAGGCCGCAGTTCCTCAACGGAGGGGATCTGCTGCCTATCAGTATCACTGCCTGTCAGCAGCTGATCCTTCTCTGTGTCTGTGAAGGCAGGCAGTTCTTCCATCCGGTCAACCACCTCCTTCAATGCCTGAGGGGAATTGAATTGTCCTCAGTCCCTGGCTTCTCCAAACATTCCAAGGGAGGTGTGTCATTCCTGTTGGACAGTCCTGTTTCCAACTCCTGCTCCTCCTCCTCCAAACCAGGGTCTGATGGGACCATGACACCAACTATTTAGTCTGTTGCAAATGATAGTAAGGAAATATAGCTGATCACCACACCACAAGTAAATAAGGTAGGGTGCAGCACTTCACTAATGTTATGTAGATACAGGTACTCCTTGACTTACAACCACATCCAGGCCCGGAGTTTTGGTTGCTAAGCAACGCAGCCCTTGTGCCAGTCATCACATAACCGACTCAATTTTATGACCATTTTTACCACAGTTGTTAAGCAAATCATGCAATTGTTAAGTGAGTTATACAGTCATTAAGTAAATCCAACTTCCCTCATTGGGTTTGCCAGCTGGGAAGGTCACATATTGTAATCAAATAACCCCGAGACACTGCAGCCGTCATAAATGCAAGCCAGCTGTCAAGCACCCAAATTGGAATCACGTGACGATGAGGGTAGTGCAACGGTTGTTAATTTCAAGGACGGTTCATAAGTCACTTATTTTCAGCACCGTTAAAATCTGGATGGTTAATTAAAAAAAATGGTCATACGTTGAGGACTACCTGTGCTCTGTAAAGCATGAGTAAAGGGAGATTAACAATTGTGCAATAAACACCAGGATTGTTCCAGATAGATAATTCCAGAATTATTTCTTACAGATTCTTTTCAGTTTCAGATATTATTATTTTTTTGGTATGGTGGAGGGGGTTGGTCTAAATGGTAAGCAAACAATATTAACTTTGGTATTTTGCATTTCAAAGATTTATATATGAAGAAAAGGTACGGAATAGCAACTCCCTCTCCTCATCCATGTATTTCTAGATGTACTTCAGAGGACCCCTCAACCTTCAAGTCACATTTCACCGGTATACATGAAGAAAAGGAGAATTTAAACCTTCTGNCTGCATTAACAGAGGGATAGAATCAAGATCACGTGAAGTATTAATACCACTTTACAATGCCTTGGTAAGGCCACACTTGGAATACTGCATCCAGTTTTGGTCACCGCGATGTAAAAAAGATGCTGAGACTCTAGAAAGAGTACAGAGAAGAGCAACAAAGATGATTAGGGGACTGGAGGCTAAAACATATAAGGAATGGCTGCTGGAATTGGGTATGTCTAGTTTAACAAAGAGAAGGACGAGGGGGGACATGATAGCAGTGTTCCAATATCTCAGGGGCTGCCACAAAGAAGAGGGAGTCAAGCTATTTTGCAAAGTGCCTGAAGGCAGGACAAGAAGCAACGGGTGGAAACTAACCAAAGAGAGAAGCAACCTAGAACTAAGGAGAAACTTCCTGACAGTTAGAACAATTAACCAGTGGAACAACCTGCCTCCAGAAGCGGTGAATGCGCCAACACTGGAAGTTTTTAAGAAGAGACTGGACAGCCATTAGTCCGAAATGGTATAGGGTTTCCTGCCTGAGCAGGGGGTTGGACTAGATGACCTCCAAGGTCCCTTCCAACTTTATCATTATTATTATTATTATGATATACACACACAGTATAAGCAGGGAAAACAGCTGGACTCATAAAAAAAAAACCAATAAACATAACAGTTTCACCCCTCTGCTACAATTATATCAGTATGAATTTCCCTGACTATTCCTTGGGCGTTGTTTGATAATGAAGCGAAGGAAAGAAGGCTCAACTGGTTAAGCAACCGGAGTGAGGGGAAAATATATTTATTATTTATTTATTCTTTGGCAAACAGGATCCAAAGAAAGCCTCTTCCGCTGGAGTAAGCAGGGTGGGCCAATCCCATTGGGGCAAGGTGCCTCCTCAGAAAACTGGGACCATAAAGGTGCACTAGTGCTCTACTTCCTGTCTTTGTTTTTTTTTTAATTGTTATGACTTCTATTGCAGTGAGGAGGAACAACTGTGCAGGGGGAACAGCAAAGCCACCCCCAGTGCCACAGGAAAAAATACATCAGCGTGCCTGTTGTGTCCTGAGCCTGCAAAAGCAGGCTCGGGACGTTGCAAGAGTCCCGGGCATTTGCAAAAGCTGCCCGGGACCAGACTGAGTGGCGCCGGCCTTGTGCGCATGCGCAAGGCGGGAAAAGACCGCCTCATGATTGGTTGAACTTGCCCGGGGATCAGAAGGTATAAATAGAGGCCTGCGTGCCTCTGCTCGCGTTGTTCGTAGAATGGAAGCAGAGAATAAAGACTTGTTAGAAATGCTTCGTCTCAAGCGCCATTATTCTCCGGACTTAACACTGGCGACGAGGGTGGGATCCAGTCTATATAGCTAGGAAAGCTTGAAGACTCACCCAAAGAAGTCCGGAAGAGAAAACGGCGTGGAAGTCAGTGTTATCCTGCCAGTACGAAATCGCTGGAGGGTGCGTGCGGCTGAAGAAGAAGACCTGATCCTCGATCATGGCGAAAGTTGGGCGTTTAGCGGAATTCGACGTCTCTCACCCCGAGAGGTGGGAATCTTATGTTGCAAGAGTCGAGACGTATTTCCGCATAAACCAGATTTGGGAGGAAGGCTTGAAGGCTGCCACATTGTGCGTTTGTGGGCAAGACGCCTTTGAGATCGCCGAGAGCGTAATCGCCCCGGACTCGCTAGAAACGGTATCATACTCCGATCTGAAGAAAACCTTAAAGGAACATTTCCAACCCAAGCAATCTGTCATGGCTTGGAGGCACACATTTCAACAGAGAGATCAGCGAGTTGGAGAATCAGCAAAAGAATACGTTGCGGCCTTGAGAAGAGCAGCTAAACCGTGCGACTTCAAGGACTTAGAGGAAAGACTGCGCGATCGTTTTGTGTGCGGACTGAGGAACACAGAATTACAGCAGAGGCTGTTCGCCAGGG